ACATGATAGGCTTTACCCAACACTAAGTTTACTTAGCTTTAAGGAAGAGTTTCAAGACAGGTAATAAATATTGATTGTTAACAAAAATAGTGAACGTCTAGTTACTTCCCAGGAGTGACTTTCAAACATTCTGGTCACTCCTTGTTTGGTATGCTTCTGACCAGGGAAGACATTGATTCTTGGGTCTCTTGAGCTGTTGTGCCTTGCTATTGTTATGAGCTTCCTCAGGGTGTAAGTCTAGTGTCCTTTCTCCAGTGTGGGTGCATCTTATTAATGCTGATCACTGATTACTTGGATAAGCATTCTTGACATAGTAACCTTAGTACAATTCTTAGTTTTATTGAATTAGGCATATTTCTGTGTATTCTCTGAGTTGTTGTTGCAAGGAAGATTTGACCAAAAGTTAAAGTTTTAAATAACATATCTTATAAGAGATAACATATAAATACATATAAGAGCTACTTTTTTTTTTTTAATGGTTCCATACAAGGGCCTTGATATATTTTACCAATATTCAAGTGATGACCATTCAAGTTTGCTAACAGCTTTTTCAGGATTACACATAATATCACAGTGACTATCCTTGTACATACGCCCTTGTGAATTTGGGCAAGTCTTATAGAGGCTACATAGCATTTCTGGATCAAAGGACATACACATTGAAATTTTTATAAATCTGCCAAACTGTCTCTCAAAATTATAATTTTATCAACAGCATGTAAGAGAATATGTTTCCCCATGCTACTTCCTTCTGGTTTTATCTTTGTTGTCTCTCTCCAGTTCCTGAAAAATTTTGTGAGCTTGGTAAAATATATATAATACTCTATTTTGCACTGGAATCAGCACACTTGGGATTAGCTCAGTCATAATACTAATAAGTGGCTGATGCAGATTGGAATCAAACTCGTTTATGTCTAGTGTTCTTTCAGTTGACTGACACTGAAAAATATTTCTTTGATTTTACTTTATTTTTTCTTACATCTTAATATTTGGAACGAATATCATAGTCTACTTTTCAGAAAGTCAAAGCATTTCTGTCCAGCTTTATTCAACAGAAATTAATGGACTAACCAATTAACCTCTAATTTTGAGTGGAGCTCTTCATTATTTGTCAGTAACAGTAACTTATGCCAGGTTAAAAAAAAAATTAGTTTCAGATGTATTTAGTATGCTTATTGATAGTACCAATATATAAAGTTGATGTAGAGATTTTAATGTATTTTAGTCTTCAGCTGTTTATCAGCCTGATGCATAGTAAATAACTATTCAACCATTGAAACTGTAGTATTTGATAAATCTGCAAAAATTTTGCTGTATGAGCCAGTGACATTTTTACATTAAAGATAACTCATGCAGTAACTTCTTTTCATTAAAGCGTGGGACAATTTAAATGATGATGGAGTGAACATATTTTTGAGGCTGATTCGTGATTTATCAAAAATATCTTATTTGAGAGTGTCCTCTACTACTGATTTTTTTTAGTTGGTCACTTTCATTAATAGTCATTTGTTTACTCAGCTTTCAAATTGCTACCAATGAATTCATGCCAACATTATGTAATACATGCTTGAAATTTTGTTTTCCAAATGCAATTTTACTTAAGTACATGGGAAATATTTCATTAATAAGATTTAAAAGTGGTAGAGTATATCTTTTTTGTCAAGCTTTATTGACAACAAAACAAAATAGTTTTAGGGAA